CCCACCCTCTCCAATAACTAACTACCCTTTGTTTGAAGTAAATATAATTCTGTATTTAAGCATCGTGTTGCAAGCCATATTAAAATGTCTATGTATAACACAGTCCATCATTGAGGCAACAAATTGTTCTTTTTTCTTCCACTTATACTTTAACACAACATATTTCAGCACTAGATGGCCATCTTCAGGTGTCTTACTACAGAGTGTTTCAAAAAGAGCTTTACAACTTTGAAAGCTCATATAAATTTATACTGAAGACATACACAACATTTTGAACTGTCATAATGTAGCAAAACACACCAAGTTTCATGCATGTGGTACTGTAGTACCCACTACCGCCACCACGAGCACTCCCACAGTTGAAATCAAGATGGCGACTTTCTCAGGTGCAGAGCGTGTTCGTTGTGTGTTTTGGTTCAAAGAAACTAAGTCTGGTACGCAAGTTTGAAGGAAATTTCACACTCAGTATCACAAGGAACCTCCCAGTAGGCCTACAATTTACTCCTGGTACAAGAATTTTGTTCAGATCAGATGTTCTGTATGCCATATCAAGCCACCCGGTCGGCCACATGTTTCTGACACTACAGTGGAACAGATTAGGGAGAGCTTCGTTCGAAGTCCACAAAAGTCAACACGATGTGAGTCTCAAAAATCTGGTATTCCAAATGTTACTATGTGGCGAGTGTTTCGAAAACGTTTACACTTAAAAGCATACAAACTATCCATCGTTCAACGCCTTACGGATGCAGATAAGGTGGTTTGTAAGGAATTCTGTATGCAAATGTTTCATCACATACAAGATGACTCCGTAATATTCAGTGATGAGAGCACGTTTCATGTCAGTGGTAAGGTCAATACCCACAACCACAGGATCTGGGGCAGCGAAAATCCACATGTCTCCCTCAGAAAAGAAAGAGTGTACGGCCCCTTCTTCTTCGTGGAGACAACAATTACCAGTATCATATATCTGGACATGCTCTTCCAAGAGTTCCTCATTCCACAGTTAGATGAAGATAACCAAGAAAGACGCATTCACTTCCAGCAAGACAGCGCACCCCCTCATTACCTTGGAGAAGTGCGCAAGTACCTCAACACCCATTTCCCAGGTCGGTGGATTGGTAGAGTGGCACCGATAGCATGGCCACCCCGTTCCCAGGAACTGACTCCCCTGGATTTTTTCTTATGGGGATTCGTTAAAGCTCGAGTGTTCGTACCACCTTTGCCTGCAAATATCATTGAGCTCCGAACTCGACTTACTGCCTAGGTTGCAGAAGTGACACCAGAGATGCTACATAGTGTGTGGCAAGAGACTGACTACAGGTGGGGACATCTGCTGCATTACCAGTGGAAGTCACATTGAACCATAACTATCCGAGATAAAACTTGGTGTGTATGTCCTCTGTATAAATTTATATAAGCTTTCAAAGTTGTAAAACTCTTTTTGAAACACCCTGTATATTAAAACTGCTACACTGCATTAATATGCACTAAAATCATACGCTGTAGTTCACTTAATATAATAAAATAAAATCCATTCAAATTTTCATTACTTTAGTGAAATTCTGTTCCACCTCACAAGGGGTTTCAATCATTTGTTTAGAACTGTTCACAACCATGGAATATAAATACGGAAGCAAACACACCACATCTGCACTAGTGAAATGTTGCTAGAGGCAACAGCGCACAAGCAAGGGGCATATTACAGATTGAAGATGTAACAGAATGTGCTAACAAACATAAAAAAAGCTGCAGCAATAAAACGCCTGGACAGAAACATATAGTTTCTTTTTTAGAACATTTTGTTGACTGCAGGCTACCTTCTCACCTTACAAATACCTGTGGTAACCTCAACTGTAGCAGTACTTATTAACCCTTGTTTACATGATTTGTTGTGGGTGGAATTTCCCACTTTAAAGGGATTTACTTCAGGTGACACCTTTGCAGGCCCCACTAAACCACGGTTGCATGCAGCAGCCAGCAAAGCTGGGTCATTTCAGAGTTTGTCAACAAAACAACCTGAGTGGTAATGCTTCTGGATAATTTACTCTTTAATCTCATCATGGCAAGACATGTGGACCAACACACAGCATAACAGTTTGCAGTTATTTCGGCTGTGGTATTCTGGAGTGGAAGTCATTCGGCTCCATGAGGCCCAGTTGCCTGACACATGCTGCTGTTGCAAGGCGTTCCCACTCCTAGGAGATGACCGACATGAATTTGTTCATGGTATCAGGGAGGCCATGCCCTATATAGTATACACACTGTTCTTTCACAGATTTTACTGAGCCATATGCAGCCTGTCTTAGTGTCATTTTTTAACTTGGCCTTTATTGTTATTTCGTTTTAGGAGCCTGTCCACTAATAACTGGATGCCTCTTCAGCCTTCCAAATGCGCTATTTTATTTAATTTTGCAATCTGTTGAACGGTGGCAGCGCAGCTTAACTTTTATTCAGTCAGAAACCAACATACGTAGGTAGTACCGAAAGTCATGAACAACTTTTTTTTTTGCATGCAACCTGGGAACAGCTGACGAGAGAGAGTATGGTGGTAGGTGGAACCAGCTGTTGTGTTAACCTTGAGTGTCTTGTGACATCAATAGCTTGCATCATGTGACCAGTATCACTCTTAACAAAATGGCCGACAACAATTGTCGTTTCGCCACCGTGCTGTCATTGAATTTCTTTTGAAAGAGGAAATCCCCACTGCAGAAATTCACCAGAGACTTCAGCGTGTGCATGGGTGCGAAGATGGGTGAAACATGTTAAAGATGGGAACACCAGCATCGAAGATGAGACTCGGAGCAGTCGTCCTCGAATGGCCTCAACTGAACGCAACAAGGAAATAGTGGATGAGATCATTCAAGGTGTGACTGTGGACACAATAGCCCAAAAATTTGGGCTATAGGAAAGTTTGTGCTCATTGGGTCCTGCGGTTATTGACTGAAGACCACAAAGATCAGCAAAAAGCCATCACCTCAGAACTGTTGCAGAGATATCGACACGAAGGTGATGATTTTTTGCTCTGTATTGTGACAGGTGACAAAAGCTGGTTTCACCATTTTGAGCCTGAAACGAAACGGCAGAGTATGGAATGGCACCATTTGCATTCTCCATCAAAAAACAAGGCAGAGACGGTCCCATCAGCTGGGAAGGTGATGGGAACAGTCTTCTGGGATGCAGAGGGGTTTATTCTGGCCGAATTCCTGGAACCTGGGAAACCATCAGTGCTGTTCGTTATGTCCAGACACTGCACAAGCTCTGTCGTGCATTGCGCGATAAACGTCCGGGACGAAACATCATCATCCTGCATGACAACGCTCACCCCCACGCCACTCACCTCACATTGGAAGCAATTGCAAAGATGGGGTGGGAAGTTCTTCCACACCCCTCCTATAGCACTGGTCTCGCACCCTCCGACTACCATCTTTTCGGATTTGAGAAGAATCAGCTGCATGGACAACATTTTGAGACAAGGGAGGCAATTCAGAAAGCAGTGCATCAGTGTCTTCAGATGGCTGGAATGGAATTTTACAGAAGGGGAATTTTCAAACTCCCAGAACACTGGGAGAAATGTGTACAAAGAAGTGGCGATTATGTGGAAAAATAAAGAAAGGTCTATAGATTGATGTGGTGTATTTGGTTTGTGAATAATAAAGCATGTTACTTTACAAAAAATTGTTACTTATGACTTTCAGTACGACCCTCGTACATGCTGATTGATTCATACACGCAACCACACAAGGGAGTGTGCGCTCCCTCTTCCCTCCCCATCACTTCTTTTTCACCCCCTCATGCCTACCAATTTTAACATCTCACTGCATTGGGGCTTTAAATTCTTTTCTCTTCCTAGTAGGATTCTTCATGTTATTTCCTCTCATTTTCCAGAGTACTTTGAATGAACTTCAGCCTGTGGGTGGTGAGGAGCAACAGTATTCTTGTGATGAGTGTGGTGATTCATTCAGTCAACAGCTAATTCTGAGAGCACATCAATATATGCATACTGGGGAGCAGCCATTTTTTTGCAACATGTGTAATAAGTCATTCAGTCATAAGAGTCATCTGAAAACACATCAGCGCATACATACAGGGGAGCAGCTATTTTGCTGTGACATGTGTAATAAGTTATTCACTCATCATAGTCGTCTGAAGACACATCAGCACATACATACTGGGGAGCGGCCATTTAGATGTGATGTATGTAATAAGTCATTCAATCAACAGAGTAACCTGAATGCACATCAGTGCGTACATAGTGGGGAACGGCCATTATTTAGATGTGATATGTGTAATAGGTCATTCTGTAAGCAGAGTACCCTGAAAAGACATCAGCGCATACATACTGGGGAGCAACTGTTTAGATGTGATATATGTAATAAGTCATTCAATCAGTGGGGTACACTGAAGTTACATCAGCGCATACATATTGGAGAGCAACTCTTTTGCTGTGATGTATGTAATAAATCATTCAATCGACACCATAATCTGAAGAAACATCGGCGTGTACATACTGGGGAGCGGCCATTTAGATGTGATGTATGTAATAATTCATTCGGTGAGCAGAATACACTGAAGAAACATCAGCGCATACATACTCAGGAACGACCGTTTGTATGTGATGCATGTAGTAAGTCATTCAGTAATCAGGATACACTGAAGAGACATCAGCGCATACATACTGGGGAGCGGCCATTTAGATGTGATGTATGTAATAAGTCATTCAATCAACGGAGTAACCTGAATGCACATCAGTGCGTACATAGTGGGGAACGGCCATTATTTAGATGTGATATGTGTAATAGGTCATTCTGTAAGCAGAGTACCCTGAAAAGACATCAGCGCATACATACTGGGGAGCAACTGTTTAGATGTGATATATGTAATAAGTCATTCAATCAGTGGGGTACACTGAAGTTACATCAGCGCATACATATTGGAGAGCAACTCTTTTGCTGTGATGTATGTAATAAATCATTCAATCGACACCATAATCTGAAGAAACATCGGCGTGTACATACTGGGGAGCGGCCATTTAGATGTGATGTATGTAATAATTCATTCGGTGAGCAGAATACACTGAAGAAACATCAGCGCATACATACTCAGGAACGACCGTTTGTATGTGATGCATGTAGTAAGTCATTCAGTAATCAGGATACACTGAAGAGACATCAGCGCATACATACTGGGGAGCGGCCATTTAGATGTGATGTATGTAATAAGTCATTCAATCAACGGAGTAACCTGAATGCACATCAGCGCGTACATAGTGGGGAGCGGCCATTTAGATGTGATGTATGTAATAAGTCATTCAGGTGTAAGCGTAATCTGCAGACACATCTGCGCATACATACTGAGGAGCGGCCATTTGTATGTGATTTATGTAATAAGTCGTTCAGTAATCAGGGTGCAGTGAAGAGACATCAGCGCACACATACTGGGGAGCGGCCATTTGTATGTGATGTATGTAATAAGGCATTCCATTGTAAGAGTAATCTGAAGCTACATCAGGGCATACATACCAGGGAGCGGCCATTTGTATGTGATCTTTGTAATAAGGCATTCAGAGGTCATAGTGATCTGAAGACCCATCAGCGTATACACGTTGACATGTGCAGTAAATCATAAAGCAGTAGAGATGGGTTTAGACTAAAGGAACAATATGTAATTTGTATCATTCCACAGTATTTCATGTTGTAGATAAGACAGTTCTGCTGTCTGTTGCATGCTGCAAGATATTGGAGTTGTTTACTGTTGCTAACCTTTCCAACTGACGGGAATGAACCGAGCCCCATAGTATAATAACATGTCAGTGTGTATCAACATCTGTTTAATTATAATTATTGACTGTGCACAAGACCCTGTCTTGTTGAGTGGAAACAGACATGACATGATGTTAATCTGCAGTGGAAGCTAGCAGTTAGTAGCATGTAGTGACTGAAATTGATTGGCAGCTTCATTTGTTTTTTGTTCTTTGTTATCTATGCTCTTCCACCACCTTCTGTGAGTAAATTCGTTGATTAGTTAGTTGCAAATTTATATATAATTTGGATTGAGTATAATGAGATGACTGTTATGAATTGGTCAGATGAACACAAACAGTGCTGTATTGGTTATTGCAGACAAAATATTATATTGTGGGATACTTGGTATAATGATTATAAAAAGCAATTTAAATAAAGATGTCTTGAGTCTTCTTGTGGAGAAATAAAATAGTACAGTAAATGTAATTTATAGGATCATGAAGACTTGCATACATCTTTTCATTGTGAATATCAGATAGCAAAGTGCAATGTGAGAGATGTGGATTTTATCAGCGCGTTGCTAGGTGACAAATCTGTGAACACTTTCATGGTGCAACAGGAAGTGCGAGTGACATTACATACCCCCACTCATCACATTGCTGTGCGACACTTGGTAAACACCCCTCCCCACTAGGCTGTGACATCACACAACAGTAGGCAATCCATGTGTAAACATGCCCGAAAACATTACCTGATATCTGTTGCAGAGCAGCAGTGTGTTTTCTATGTGGTCCGTGCCGAGTATTGAGGATGGAGTATTGGGAGTTCGTAGAAGACGTGAAGATTTAAAGGACGATTCTGAAGGCTTTAAGTGTGTGACGGTGCAGTGCATTATAAGGTGTATGTAAATCAGCGATAGCGCTGTGTATTAGAGTGTAATCAAGAGTGTGTGTAACCAAGCTGTTAATAAATCCAGTCATCCAAACTAGAACCCATCATTTCATCATGTGTACCCTCCTACACGTTACATATAAACACACATTAACCACTGGCTTCCCAGAGTAACATGAGTGACAAGTTTTCACAAAACTCCAGCATGGTGTCAGCACTGGAACATAAAGATCAATGAAGGGAAGACTCAGGCCATCTACTTCTCCAGAAGGCATAGAATGCCTGAAGATGCCCTACAACTAAATGGAAAGAACATCCCATTTGTAAATAGTATTAAATATCTTGGTGTCACCTTCGATAGGAGGGTGACATGGAGACTACACATAGATAAAGCCGCAGCCAAGGCCTTGGGCACATACATTAGGATATACTCTATATTCAAAAGGAAGGACTTGAGCACACACATTAAATTAATCATGTACAGAGCACTAATTAGATAAATAATATCTTATGCCTGTCCCACCTGGGAGTTTATGACAGACATTAACATGTTGCTTCAAACTGTCCTGCTTATAACATCTCGGCACAAACCACATAGAAAACACTGTTTCCACTGTTATAGTCCAACAATACCTCCACCGTCATGTTTATATGCCAATTGCATAGCAATGGCTGCACTCACTGTCAGTTTCGGGGTCCCTGCCCAGCAACGGGTCTATACGCCACAATATTACAACCCATCATAAAGAATCAGGCTAGGAGGGCATGGTATGAATTTAACTGGCTCAGGACAAGAACCAGAGGCAGACTCCTATCGACATGAAACTTACCCATCGGATTCCACAAATTGCTTGGAATTTCTTGACATGCTGAGCCCCTGTCAGCCTATTGAATGACACTGCTCCACGAGTTAGTATTGTCAGGTGTTGATGACTAGACACAGGGCTTGGGTCCATTACTGAATTTACTGGCTGCTTGATATTCGTAACTACAAATAACAAGTTCTACGATTTGCCACAACACATTCAAAGTCTTCCCAGTCTGCTGTCTTCACGTAGTCATGGTAGCGGCTTTCGACGATGGGAATTCTCTTCATTGCTTCTGTGCTCAACAGAACCTTTCTTTGCTTGTTGACCACTAGCTGCTAATCACTACTGTATCTGTCAGTCGATTCAATTGCTGCTGATCTTTGCCAGCACAGTCAGCCTGCGCGAGTAATTTACAATAGTAGTCGTCAGACCCCGCCTCTCATTGAAGAGGAGGCCCCATCCTTCTTAACAGATCTCCATCAGTTCATTCAGAATTGCACGAGTTGTGGGCCAAACACAATCTGTTCCCCTTTGATAAGTCACATATGCACGAGCTGCCTGCGGTAATCACGACGAACTGCTTCCTGCTCCAATTGTCCCATTATCTGAGCAAGCAAGGCGCTTACTTGTTCTAGATCTGCCGCACTTGACTGCTCAAATCTAGCTCTGATCTCTGTGTCACCTCCTGCTTCATCTATCCTCTGTAAGCAATCTTCATGTAGCAAATTAAGTTCACATAAAATTTCAAGAATTGTGGACCATTCACAGTCTGATCCAGGTTCATCTACTATTTGTTGATAATGATGTCTATCCCAATCCATAGTTTATTTTCCTTTGGTGCTAATATGACTCAACCAACCAACAAACAAACAACAGAGTCAGAGTTACTTTACGACTGACGGTTTACCGCCGATCAGTTCGTCTCAGCATAAGGCTCCTTAAGGCCCACAACCATAGATTTTTTTTTCACTGAACTGTTGCGGTAATAGTCCTTACGTAACATCCTCTCTGATGAGAAAATGGGTTTGTCTCTTATGAATACACTTGACCTTTCATCAAGTGTATATTTCACACATATAACATGTTATCGAAAATTCCTTTTGTGCTACACATAAGTCAGTACAGGCTTTTCAGAGATCATGTCTAACTTACATATCTTATGATATGACAACTTAAGTCATTTGAACGGTCGTAAGCATGACCACCGCAAAGTTTAAGCCTCTTATATTACAACAAACAACAATTGGCCCTCTTTACACGTATATGCCTTCGGGTTAGACCATATAGAAAACACCATCTCCTACAGTTCTCTTATTGTTGTGTGTTTATTCGTTGCCTAGCAATGGCTCACTTATTTGGTGACGTAAGAGCATGTCTACTGTTTTTTATTGTTGAAAAAAATATTGCAAATACAAAAAAGGCCTAGGCAATGCCCATCCACTGTCACTGCATAGCAAGGGGTGACATCTCTTGTTAAATTATTTTGTCATGTTACTATTTTTAAACAAGTGGAAGCACTGTGTATGTATGTATGTATGTGCAAAACTAGTGAGATGAGTATTATTGTATTTGAGCATCCCGCTGCATCAGCTGATCACTTGCAACTCCATAGAATTACTAGTTGAATCACCGTTTAGTCCGTGGTTTCACGTGGCAGCTGTGAAAACCCCCACCTACAGATTTCAACTCAAATCAAATAAAACTTTAACTCGAAGAATACCATCATGGGGTTCTTTACCAGAATATTTGGTTGCCGTAAGAGAAAGAGAAGCTTCGTGGACTCTGTGGATCTTTATGTGACAAGGTGCATTAAGGATGGATCAGAAGAGTGTTGTGCTGAAAGGGCTGGAAGATTTCAATGTAGGAAAAAGAAACAAGTATGAAGAACTGAAGGAGGAGGTGACATATCTGACGCAGACAACTGGACTGTCTGTCATGATCCTGGAATGCAAAGTGACCGTGCAAGATCAACTTAATATCCTTAGGCAGCCGGCTCAATTGTGGAGAGAAATGACACAATCACAGGAGAAGTTTGGGGTGCAGAGTGCAAGTTCAGAACCCCAGCCAACATCACGAGAGTTCGGGTCCTCTTTTCGTTAAGATGGAAGGCTACCCCAGCAGATAACTTCCTCCATGGAGTTGGGACCTTCTAGAGAAGCTGCCAATCACTCGATCTGTCAAGAATTTCCAAACATTTACTTGAAACTGAAAGTTCAATACCTTGTTCAGAAGAATCCTAAACTGTTCACTATCCTGAACCAGAGAAAAAGAAGACGTTGCAAGTACAATCTCGGAAGGAAAGAACCGGTGATGCACTGTTAGGCTATTCAGGATGAATAGCCTTAAGGAGGGAGCAGTGTAACATGTCAAACCGTTGTTGGGCGACAAAATGTGGAACGAATTCCCACAAAGACGGTCGGTTGCCAAGTTACACAACAGTGGAACAGGGTTATGCAACAATAAGGAAAGCTGTATTTCTCCAAGTCAGTTGAAGAGTGGTGTGGGACAGTATTGAGTGAGTACTGAGTTTACAGTTTACAGGAGACATTCGAGCAATATAGTGGAGTTTAGAGAGAGTGATCAGTTGAGTGAACATTTGAGTGAGACATTAGAATTCATGCAGTCGAGAGAGATACAGTAGTGATTAGTAAGTCAACTACACCAGGTCTTGACTGGAATTAGTGAACTGAACAAATGAACGTTGGACAGAGTGATTATACGGACTTCACGTTACGTAGTGTACTCATGGCCAACTCCCATTTGGCGAAAGTGGTATTGGTGAAGTTTGTCACCAGGCCGCGGCTGTGCACAGTGCTCTGCGAAGCAACAAAGAAACAGTATCTCTGAGTGTACACCAAGATGTAGGATGTTCCAGAACCAGAATTCTGGAAATACTGGAGCTATCAATGCTGAAATCTGAATATCATGCCATAACAAACAAGAACCCAGAAATAACTTCTGTAGTACAACAGGTACAAAACGTGGTCAGTGCCATTGAACACCTTACATAATGCACACCGGCTAGAGGGGGGGAAAGCTCTCCGTGGACATCTATTGTAAATAGTGTGGGGGAGAACACAGCAAAATTTTGCAAGCTTTTAAATGGGAAGCCGCTTTTCAGTGCTCTCTACAGCATGTACATGGTAACAATGAAAGAACTGCACGACGTCCTGAAGGTAAATGCACAGGCAGGACAAAATGGAGCAATGAGCAAAACCTATTTGAATCAACAGCCCAGGATGACGACTTCCAGGAAGTAAAGAGACGTAAGAGGCATATCTCTAATGATACCTCAGAGACGACCAAGAAGACGACAAAATCAATCCCAATATCCACAGCTGTCAAGCAGACTCCAAAAGCACTGCACAACTCACAACTTTTTAGCACCCCTCAGAGCTAATGGCATGGACAGGGAGAAAACTGGAGCAGAGAACACGGAGCAGGAGGCTCCCAGAAAGTCAGGTAGACAGCCACCAATAGTGATGACTTCTACCACAAACCTAATTCGACTCCTGAGCCATACGTTCTACTTATGGCTCCGTTCAGCATCGTCTTTCACTATCCCCTCCTTTTCTTTTTCTCTTTCCCAGGAAGTTCTTCTGTTCCGGAACTTGTTCCGTTCCATGCCTACCACATGATCCCCCTCCAGCTGTTGTTAGATCTAGTGAGTAGGAAAGAAGAGGAGAAACTTCACTTGTTGTATAGCAGTCGCAGAAGAAAGGTAGCATCCCTCCTTGGGGGTTTAGAGGACTGTTTTGGAGGCACTCGGTGATTAACAGTCAGAGAACCACATAGCTATGGGTTGTTTGGGCGTGGCCAGCCTAAATTTGGTTTGAGTTCCTTTCCTTCTGACTAAAAAAAAGGGTCTACATATAGAATACTCTAATTTGTCCATGGGAACGAAACAAAATCACAAAAAACAAAGACTGACTCGATGATGTAAATCATCAAAGAATTCTATTCTTGTTTTATACTATAACTTTTGTTTTATATAATCTAATTTATTGTATTTTATGTCAAGTATTTTAATATAATTAATATTACTGTATCCAATTTTATTAATACTGCAGTTCAGTGGTGTATATATGTTAGCTATGTATTTGCCTGATGATGGCTATTAATAGCCGAAACATGTAGCAGAGCCAAAACCAGGCACTGACTTTGATATAGTTGTGTTGTACAGTCTTAATAAAGAAGTTCTATATTATAACACAACAGGATGCATGAAATAAAAAAAAACTAAATATACTTCAAGAAAACAGTCAAATATTGTACTTCATTTATAAATGGT